TAAAGTCGGTGTTACTTCTGTTTGCACCTCTGCCTACCCCTTCGGGGATAAATGATGTTATGTTATGTTATGAAGAGAAATGGGACGACCCTATGCCAGGATTGTATAAGAAAAGAATTAGCAATTTCACGTGCTTTCTGTTGCTTACAAAATGGATCCCAAATCGTCATCTTATTGAGCCTAGAAAACTTTTTACCAGACTAAACATGTAGCACACTATCACCAAATCCTTCCACAGCATTATGTGAAAGTAGGATCACCGTTGATTTAAGGTCAAAGGCAGACTACTATATTAAATGGATCCCTCTATAGACAACCTAGGGATTGTCCTCAATTTGCCAGCATGGATGGGTGAACGAGCTATTTGTGCCTTTGATAAATCTTCGTTACCTATTTTCTCTATAATCCCTGGCTCGTGTTATGAAAATGTTCAGGCAAGCCGTAAATCTTTGGTTAACATTTTTGGAAGAGAATATTAAAACTGTGGGATGATTTTCTATATTAATTATTGCGGTACCTGTCTGGAAGATGTTCGTTTAAGAAATCTGTGGCATTATTAAAAAGTAGCCTAATTTTTGTGCAAATTCAAACTGAAATAGGTATTTCTCTAAATTAACTGTCCTAAAATTTTTATTGTGTTTATTTGAAAAACATAGTGGTACTCTATCACTAAAAGCGAGCTTTAGTAATGATTTTTGAGTCCATAAAACAATCTTTTGAAATTATTCGACGTAGGTCGAATACTGAAGCCTTTTTGACGATTTTTTCTTATCCATTCTTAATTACTTAATAACTAGTGTTCCTTACCTAAAGAATCTACCAACAACGCCCATGCCAAATTGTCGCCTATTTGAGTTGTCAGCCAGAGGTTCCAGCATCGGTGTGTGGATACGCGCTCCCCCCGCGCCCCAGGACACGCTCCGCTCCGGCCTTCTATACTCCACGCCTGTCGAACCGATTGGGGATCTCGCCCTGGAATTTCAAAAAATCATATTAGAATACAAACTCATTTCAAAACTTCTTTCAATATTTAATGCTGATTTTGAAATTCAGTCTTAAATGTGTGAGATATTTGTAAATATTGATGTACCTGGAATTTATACTAACATGCGTAAATCCCATAATACGTAAATCAGATTTTCGACAAAATTTTATCCAATTATCGGTTGAAGAGAGATTGTCAATCGACGTAAAATAACGATATAGATTTTGATTTCACTGATCCAATTCAACTCCAAAAAAACTCAAGACCATAAACATTTTTAAGGTTTAAAAAACATTAGAGAACTTGACTTAGTAGAATAACAAAATGTATGTACATAAAAGTACCTATGCAAGCAATTAAAAACGTGATAATGGCCTCTCCATAATTACATTATAAATTCATTAAGATCAAAGAAGAGCCTTTTCTAAAGCAAATTCAGTTCTTTGATAAAATAAAAAAAAATTAATTACTTTTGTGTCTTCCACGTACAACCACTTATCTTTAAAAGTGTGAATAATAATCGTGAATTACTTGGGTTTCACTTTAGATTGTAATTATGTATTTGACTGTTTGGATACTTATTATTTGGTCCTTAGGGATTATTTTACTTTGTGTATCTTTAGTATAATGGCATTGAAAAGCTAGGTGGACAAGTTATTAGAGAATTCAAAGTATAGGCTAGTTTTCAATGGGTAGTAATAGAAGCTCCGATCAATAAAAAGAATTGACCTTACTCAAAATACTATCTACCAAAATACTGCCTAAAATACTACCATTCCGACTACAGTTGTCCAAATAAAAATGACGAAACGACCGAATGAGATACTTCGAAAAATTAACATGACTGTTTATTGCTATAATACTTTACTACCAGCGTAAATTAAGTTTTACTGAAAACCTAACCTAACCTAAGTAAAACCTCTGTTGTCGGTAACTTAGCAATTTTATCAGAGGTGTCATATTCTATTCGGAAGTTTCGTTTTTCTAAGATCTTTTTTTATAGTCGGCCACAGATTGCTGGAGATTTATTTGTTTATCGGAACCATTATTATTTCCCGTTTTGAATTTGTCGAATGTCATCCATATAGAATTTACACGCCACTGGTCAAGTGAGGGCCGATTTAAGGTTATTTTTAAAAGAAAAAATTAAAATGCGGTGGTTTTTTCGTTCTTGACTTTGCATAAAAATGCAAATCATCCAAGTGGTGTGTTTCCCAAAAAACAGTAAATTTTATGGCAAAAATTAACAGACGTTTTTCCTGTACAGTAGCAAAAAGCTGATGGTTTCATTAAAATCTCAGAATTTTTACTCTTGTCCAAAAATTTTTTGTTGGTAGAATTATAGTCGGCTCGTCAAATATATAAATAAATAATAAATATTATGTTGTCTTATTGTATAAATGACCTGACATCTGACATGTTCGGGATTAATAATAAAATAACTAGACAACCGATACTCCAAAACTAACCAATGAACCATCATAATATATAAGTATAGTTTCAATACTAAAACATGAAATACAAATCTTCACATTACTATAGAGTATTTGTATGTATATCTATATACGTTACGTATGTCAGCATAGTCCGAAGATTTAATCTCCGATCACAAACCCTTGTCACAAAGATTTGGGACTGATACCCTTGCGAAGAACGCATGCGCGATGAGCCGTCTGTTTTTTATTTGCTTTCATACGACATACCTACATACATGGAAAGGAGTTTTCCTTTAGTTAGCCGTTCGTATATAGGTTTACAAGTAAAAAGAAAAACATATAAAAATGGTAACAAAACCCGAACCCATTTTTGTTATGACTTTCTTTATTTTAGTATTGTTACATTTTCAATGCACATGTTTAGTAGATTTAATAATATGATTTTATAATAACTATCTTGAGACATACTAAATTAACTAAAATCGCAGGTTACTCACGAGAATATACTGAGAAAAGCCTAGTTTCGAACCCTAGAGGGGGTCTTCCTCATGAGCAGCGTGCGCGGTCGCGGCGACGTCGCGCAGCTCACTTCAATAAGTATAACGTTATAGGTATGGGAGCGCCATGCTTCGGCAGGAATAGACCGGTTCAACCGGAGCAAAACTACGGTCTCATAGAAAACCGACGTGAAACAACGCTTGCGTTTTGTTTTGTCGTGTAATTGAGATTATCGGAGGCCCTGCCCCGCTCCCCAATTTCCCCAATCCCTGAACCCCTAAATCTTCAAATTCCCAATCCCTAAAAGGTCAGTAACGCACTTGTAACACCTCTGATGTTCCGTGTGTCCATGGGCGACGCCGATAGCTTACCATCAGATGATCCATCTGCTTGTTTATCCATAAAAAACCTCTTCAAATTAATATAGTGAGAAAGATAATTCTATGATTATTTTGGACACTTAAAATACCTACTACCTACCTACTAAAATTTAAATTGTCCGATAATTTATTTTAACTGAGAGAAATCGTGTATAATTATATAGCAATATGATATTTTATTTTTAACCTTAAACCTAATACAACACGGTTTTATAACATATCGTATCAAGAGAATAATAGATGTAATTAATTTAACTTTATTTTTAAACTTCAGTGAACTATTGACCGGGCGGTCGGTCATTGGCTCGAGTGAAATTTTTGGGGTACCGAACGCAACAGAACCCTTTTATTAAGTATTCGATATTTTATGAAATTATTACTATATCAAATTGATTCAGAAACTGGCAAAATTTTTGATTGTTAATATAGAAGAAAAGATATTTACACACTTACCAACACACATATTTAAACTCTTGATAGAAGTTTTATCGGAACGAATATCTTCGTTAGTCATTACAATGCAGTAATAAAAAGTAATTTAAAGTGGAGTCATTGCCTCATTGAGCGAATGGTCGAAGTGGGACTTCCGGGTCTCGGGTTCGATTCTCGGATCGAGCAAAGTATTACTGGATTTTTTTTTTAATCCCAGACTACTATATGGCAATAGGCTCACCCCTATTACATGAGATTTATAACATAAATAGTTAAAAGTGGATGTTACATTGTACAGAGCATTAGGTGCTATAATTTGCACCTCTACCTACCCCTTAAGGGGTTAAAAGGCGTGATGTTATGTTATGTTATGTCATTAAGTGCCATAATGTGAACCTCTGCCTACCCCTTCGGGAATAAAAGACGTAATGTTATGTTATGTAAAGTGGAGGCCCTTTAAGATTTTGTTCATTAGTAATCGTAATACAAATGCTGGCAAACGTTCTAAATTCAAATAAACAAAGAAAAAAATGTACACACGCATTTTAAAAAAAATTGTATTTGACCAACGTATTATTTCTTACGATACAGAACCCCTTGTGTATTTTCACGTGCACTTATCCGATTTCTGTGTGACTCGCCTGATTACTTGATTTCATACATGAGTTGAACAAAATTGAAATTGCCAACGTTGTTAATTAACTAGATACTTATCGATATCATCACAGCGTCACAATATTCAAGCTTTTATTAAAATTGATTGATTGAAACTTCAACCCATCAGTTATAATCATATCGATACAACCATATTTGTTCTAGACTCTAACTTGTCACTTCTATCTAAGTAAATTGTTTTAACTTAGAACCAATAATTTAATTGAATTTGTCCTTCATGTGACCTTTATTGTGTAAACAACTATAAATGTACTAATATCATAAAAAACATAACATCACGCCTTTTATCCCCGATGGGGTAGAGGCAGAGGTGAACATTATGCCACGGTACAATGTAACACCCATCTTTTACTATTTATGTTATAAGTCCCATGTAATAGGGGGTGAGCCTATTGCTATATACCGGGCACAATTCCAGACTCCGTGCTACTACTAAGTATTTTAAAAAAATCCAGTATTACTTTGCCCGACCAACTTAACAAATAGATCACTAACGGTATGTCGCTATTCATAAATTTAAAAAAAGTAAAGACTAGGTTGTATTAAAAGCAATAAAAAATAATGGACACAAGTTTAAAATTAATTACAAAATAAAAAAAAATAAAAGCGATTCTAAATTGAAAAACCGCTGAGTTCATGAAACATCAATGATTAGTTTAAGAACTAAAATCGTTAGCTTTGCAAAAATGTGATCAATTATGATTAGCACAAAGTCGAAAATAAAAGTTTGGAGAGTTCAACGTTTGTCTGACGAGTTTGTTACTCGAAAGATTAAAGTAACATGACGCACTATCGGTTTCTATTCTACAAGTTATATTACAATCTCTAAAAAAAAAACAAAATAAACGACAACTTTTTCACAGAACCTCATTCAAGACACATAAGGAGATCTGTTTTCTCTGGATGTTACGATAATAGTAATAATAACAAATTATTTAAGTTTTTCTATTTCTATTAAATAAAAGATATAGAAATTCACACATCAGTAAGAAATATTCAAACTTGAAAGATAATCTTCGTTTTCTCCGTATAGTTTAACTCGTCGAGTACCGGTTTTGTAGACACAATTATAGAACAATAGGTTGCGGTCACCGGTGACCGCTTGGTGTTTGACAGTTTAAATCCTAATAACAACTCCTAATGTCATAAAAGATGTTTAGTAGCAGCTAAATTGTGACGTCATAATTTAGTGGTCATAAAAGACATTCTTTGTCATGTAATTTTATGACAATAGGATCCCAAAATGATGGCTGCGTAACGTTTTATGACGGTTCAAAACTGGCCATAATCGATATCTACTAAAAAATATTTTAAGGCTACGTATGTACTTCTTCATAATTATAAGCTCAGGGTAAAAAGTTCAAGGCTTAATACCAAAATAAACTTATTAGGCTTTTGAAGAAAGTAATAAGTTATCATTTAATTAATCAAATGAACGTTAACGTCTGTAGTTTTTAATATACTGACATAAGTGCCTAATAGATTAACATAACATCACGCCTTTTACCCCCGAAGGGATAGGCAGAGGTATACATTAAGGGCACTTAATGCCACTGTACGATGTAACATCCACTTTTCACTATATATGTTATATGTCCGATGTATAAGGGGGTGAGCCTATTGCCATAGGCCGGGCACAATTCCAGACTCCGTGCTGCCGACCCGGGAATCGAACCCGAGACCCCTTGCCCGACAGTCGCCCTTGCGAAAACTCGGCCAACGAAACAGTCCTACCTAATAGTACCTAATAGATTTTTATATATAATGAATTCACTACAACATGTTAAAACCGAAATTAAGAACAAAGTATAAGCCATGTGAGCTATCATCAATGGCGATATGTCAACGATATCAGACGTAGCCATTATACTGGTATTTAAACTTAGCGATAGTGGTTTCATTAGTAAGTAAAGTTTGAATAATAAACACTACCAGTAAAGACCGCGATAAAGAGAAGTAACAAAACATAACAACTCATTAACTTACGACGACGAACTTAAGGAGGCCCAATTACCTCTCCCCTCCTTGTGTCCAACAATCCTCAAATTCCTAATCCAAAAAGGCCAGTAACGCAATTGTAACGCCTCTGGTGTTCCAGGTGTCCATGGGCGACACCGATTGTTTATCATCAGGTGATCCGTCTGCTCGTTTACCGGTTTATAGCACAAAAAAAAACTATACAAAATATGAAAATATTTTGTAGTATGAGTCAGAACTCATACTACATTTTACGTTACTACAAACCACTAAAAAAACAACAACAACAAGCTTTAACGAGAGAAGCATAGACAAAAATAAACCTCAGTAATAAATTGCAGATGATAAAGTCCCCACACGATGCTGTATATAATAAACGAGGTAATTAATCTGTCTCGCAACAGCACAAGATCTGCTCCGAGCAGGATTATTAGGCAAACTTCAACAACTTCACGTGGTTTACTTAGTATCGCCTTCATGCCGCTGGTATAGCCTCATCTTTAGTTACTAAGTTTCAGTATTACACTATATTATTACATAGAATCTTTGGATTATTTAACAGGAGTGGAGTAATTTGATTAATGTGTTTTTGTTTTGGTATTGGATCGCAAGTGCGACTGCCGGGCAAGGGGTCTTGGGTTCGATTCCCGGGTCGAGCAAAGTATTACTGGGTTTATAAAAAAATCTTAGTAGTAGCACGGAGTCTAGAATTTTGCCCGGTATGTGGCAATAGGCTCACCCCCTATTACGTAGGAATCATAACATAAATAGTGAACAGTGGGTGTTACTTCTGTGTGCACCTCTGCCTACCTCTTTAGGGATAATAGGCGTGATGTTATGATGTTATGTTATGTTTTGGTATTCTATGTGTGGCTTGAATTGATAGAAAGTAAGGTTTTCGAAGTGTTGGTTCTCATACATATGTGGTTTATTTTTATATAGTGATGAATTCATTATAATCTTTTTGTGTTGATTTATCAAACAGGCACGTTACATCCCATGAATAATGACGAGAAATAAGGCGCTTATCAAATAAGAGCTTTAAAGTGTTTCTTGCCTCGCCCACGCTTTGTGAAAGTGTCCTTATTATTTTTTAATATTATCTACATTCTATTTTAAATGGAATAATACCTGAATCAAACTGATCGTGTCTAAAAAGTTAAAAACAAAATCAATTGTTGGCTATGACTAACTTCCCTTACAAATCCCTAATTCTTCTTTGTAAAAATAAGGTACTCACCCCTTAGATCCGTCAACAGTATCAGCATCTTCATGATGCTGCAGAGGCGTGGTGGAAGTGGGTGGTGCGAAGAACACGTCATCGACGTCAACTTCATCGTGCATGGGCGCAGTGCCGCGGAATGATCTCGACCACTGCGCCGACGTCGATTGACGCGACCGCCGCGTCACCGCCTGCGAAAAAAGTAAAAAAATTGTTGGATTATTGAACTAAGGTATTTAGCGAATATTTTATAGACATAGCTGTGTTTTTTCCTCAGTGATATTGACGTTTTAACGTGCAGTTAAAACTATAACGTCTAACTTTAAATTGTGACGTTTAGTTAAAAATCTATAAATTTTCAAAGATTATTTTACCTACTCTAGAATCTATGAAACGTGTTTTCAACAAAAATTTAGTCTAATTTGAAAATATAAAGTTCTGTATACCCACAGTGGTATCACAATAAAAATAATAAAACACATTTGTCCTTACATCAAACTAGAAATAACTACGAAACTAGGTTTTGGGGCGTTAACTTATACAAATCCTTATCCATCATCTATTAAAACATAGCAAAAATTCTTGACGACAATCAAAGGAAATCAGTGACGTAGGTATTTTGTTTTTCTTTTACTCAGCATAGTGGAAAAAGAAATGGACGTTGATTGAATCTTTTTGTCAGTTACTCTCTTAAGGAAAAAGATATCAGCCTATTTTCTTTTTGGTTGGGATTGTTTTAAAAAATGTACGAAACAAGATCACATTTTCCCGCATAGATGGATAAAAGCTCCTATTCACATTAAACTCCACAAGATCATTAAAGTTTTCATTACATTTTTAGTAAGTAAATAAACAATTTTAACCCTAATTGTCCAAAAAATAAAACACAATTCATAAATTTTGGCAATTCAAGCAACCGCTAGACCAAGAGGGCGGCCAAAAAAACTATAAATAAATTATACTTTTAAAAGTTTTGATAATAAAATTCATTGTTTACCAAGAATCATAAATTATTAAGTTGTTAATGAGTGCTATCAAAATATCGTGTCACAGAGCAGTAAACTAGAAGCGTGTTCAAAATAATATTATTAATGTTTCAAAGTCTAAAATGGGTCAATGAAAATGTCAACATATATTTAGTAGATAAACATGTACCTACGCAAAATAACCTAGACGTCTATTTTTTATTTTAATGTCCGTCTGATAGATTATTTTAAAACATTAAACAGATGTTATATTTTCATACAGAAACAAATACTTTCGACGAATTATTGATTGGAAATATCACGTGATGTGTTAGAAGAGTCTAGCTATGTTTTTGTAATAAACTCTTCAATATTAAACTGTCAAACACCAAGCGGTCACCGGTGACCGCAACCTATTCTTCTATAATTGTGTCTACAAAACCGGTACTTGACGAGTTAAGATAACTTATAAGTTCCATATAATGTAACTTGTATAGCCCATGCAATAATGGTCATATAAACAGGACACCAAAATTTAAATTTTCTTCAGTGAAGCATACAATTACAGCGAGTACAATAAACATTTCAGTGACAAATTCAGTGATACTACTATGAAGTTGCAAACGGGACTCACTGAATAGATTTGGCCGTTAGCTTTTCAACTGTCGCAACAATTATACGGACTTACCACTGCGCTAACTAGGAAATTGAATTTTAAATAGGAACTGTGATACTGAAATAGTATGAAGTGATAAATTATTAAATTAAATTTAAAGATTTTAATTGTTATAAATAACTAAATGTTTCATTGCCTTTTGCGACCTTTTATTCTTTTTATGGTATAAGTCGGTAAACGAGCAGACCCGTCATCTGATGGTAAGCAATCGGCATCGCTCATGGCCACCTAGAACACTAAAGGTGTTTCAAGTGCGTTACAGGCCTTTTGGGATTAGGAATTTGAGGATTGTTGGGGTTGATGAAGGGTGGGGGGGAGTAATTGGTCTTCTGGTACCTTCACTCACACAACGAAACACAACATGGAGTTTATGGATTTCAAACAGTTTATTTTTTAAATACAAAATACATTTCTTATTTCAAATCATGTCATCAAACTGACCAAATGACCTACATCTCCATCCAAATCTCTTTGAAGTAAAAAATCCCAATTCGCTAAATATTTTCCTATAAACCTCTTCCCACGAAATCGCTCCAAATTTTCATAAGCCCCTCGAAAAGCGCAATAAACATGGCTACTGAGACCGTGCACGTCAGCCGGTTTAAGGAAGCAGTAGTTTGTAGTCTGACTAGTTCCTTTCTTGGGATATTGCCGGAAAAGGGGGGGCTCCTATATTATTTACGACCCCATAAAGGCCGCCTCAACCCGAAAGACATCACTTTTATAATTTATTGCTCGGAAATATCGCGGTCTAATTCGTCCGCTCGTATAATATAATACTGCTTCGATATAGGAGGGCCATACGTTATGAGTTACCTATCGTTTTGCTTGTCCCTATTAGGAAATAGTTGTGCGGTCCTTCGTGTCTCTTTGATCAAAGATATGCATAAGGAATTTATAGAATTCTCAAGTCTTGTCTTGTTAACAGTCGTGTAGTTAATAAGCATACTTATCATCATCATCATCATCATCATCATCATTAACAGCCCATAAGTGTCCACTACTGACCAAAGCCCTCTTCTTACGTAGAGAAGGTTTGAGCTTGCTCAGTGAGGGTTGGTAATTTCTAACTTATAATTAGAAATGATAAGCCCAGGTTTTCCCACGATGTTTTCCATAGAAAGTACATGTAACTTGGAAAAGTCACATTGGCGCCTTAAACCTCCGGGCCACCACGACAACGACTTATAAACGATCGTAATAATGATCATATTATACGTATTGTGTTTAAAAATTATTTCGATCAATTTATAAATAAAGCTTACATCTTAGTCTCATTTGCAACATTTTTTTTAATCAATAATAGTATAGATGAATGTTGACTACTCAATTAACAAAATTGTATTATATGCGTGTAGCCACCACAGCATGGTTGCTAACCCAGCCTAGCTCTCCAGTGAATACTGTCGCAGCGTTGTGTTTGTTTCATTACTCAGACAATGATATAAAGTGAGCATAGAATAACATAACATTACAGATAACGTTCGTAATAAATACACAGAGTTAATCTTATTAGTTATGTAGTAAGTTCCGCGCTACGAGAGCTACGCGGCTACGCCGTAGTCGTCGCGTAGCCACGAAGTGGAGTTGGCTGAGCGAGATATGATTTTGAATTATACGTAGCTTAAATCCTGAATAGATGATCGACCTATTCATTTTAGTATGTTTTTCGGTTAATATACTTTTTTACTATCAGACTACAGTACTGACTGCATCGAAATGATTTCTTCGCATCACTATACCGAAGTTCTTAATAATAGGAGTATACTTACCTCTTTAGAAATATTATAGACAATTTATCATTTAGTATAACAATAGATTATATCTACTGTATTGTAGGTACAGTTGTTACTAATTAGAGTCTGAAACCAGACCACATTTTGTATGTCATAAAATAATTACATTAGTAATTTCTTCAGTTCATTCATGTACCTCCAAAATCTTCGCTAATTTGTGTCTGTACCTCATTTGTAAGGAGAACGGAGGTACTTGTAACAAGTAATTCAATTTACGAAAAGTACCAAAATTAAATTAGGAAACAGGAGAATATCTTTATAATTTGTCTAACAGAATTGATTTTGGGAAACGTAATTTTAGACCTTAATTGATATGCTAGACTCAGACGAATTCCCTGCTGTAATATCATTTCATTTTCTGCGTGTAAAGGTGAATGGTTCATGAAAATTATATTCGGTTTTACCACGAATAACAGAGGTTATGTTATACTATAATACCTAAGTACATATATAGTACTTTTTTTTTTAAGGGGGGAAAATCATCGAATGACTGCTCCCGTCTGGGTGAGGCGGGAGGGAGTGTCAGACTCTTACTGACTAAAAACCACCCCGTTCCTTCTCCTGCACGTCGAGCCGGAGCCCCGGTTACCCGTTAGGTTCTCCGCGACACATAATATATACCTCTAGGTATAGAATTTACTATCAAGACCTGGAATACTATAATAAAACATATCTCTTAATTTACCTCAATCATATTTTACGTTATCAATTTAATCACCTATCAAACTCGACAACAGAGTAATCTAATGATTTAGAGCAACACCAATCATCAGATTACTGAGATCCTCCACATAATATAGGTCAGTAGAACCATTTATATAAACTACATCAAAATTAACTAACCTATAAATTACTCATCCCTCTGAATTTGGCGACCCAATTCGAGTCAAAATCTGGTACAAACGTATATATATAGAGCTGTATATACATACGAAATTTTATCATGAGGCATGGTACATAATGCGGCGTGTATTTATAAGTCTCCGGGCACACATAGGGCGGTCCATTAAACCTTGTGTGCGCTGGTTTAGGATTTCACGCGGCCGGCAAGTGCTTTTAGCATAGTTAAAACAACCAGAACAACTTTTCTGTTGAGATATGTAGTCAACTTTTAAATGGTTAACGCGTGAAACTGGGTTACCGACTAACTATGCCACCTGTGGTCGTAAGTGGTGTTGCTGTGCCACTGAATTATCATAATTTCATGCTGTATTATACATATTACTTAGCTCCCACGCTAGGTTTGCATTTAACGTTTTCTAAAAGCATGTAAGCCTTTTTTACTTCAGTCTTTTCCGAGTGAAATTTATTTAATCCAGCAACAACATAATGGGCACGTTGGAAGACCTTTAGTCGAAATGAGCATGAGGTTAATCGTATGTTAATCCACCTAAAAGTACTTCGACATAACATTTTGAAGATGTTAAATTTAAAATATAAATAAGAGTTTAAAAACCAACTAAAAAGTACAAGGAGCCGCTCTATATATTTCAAGAACAGCTGATTCTTAACAGCCATTTCTCAATCTCTCATCAAGAACCAATCAGTATTCAAGTAGACTACCAATAAAGAATTGTAGAAATGAAGTAGAATGCCAACTAAAAAGCAACCGTATTGAAATAAGAATTAGTTATTTAAATTCTAGTTAAATTGACAAGCCAATTCCAATAGATATTAAATGTGTTCCAATTGAGCAGTTTTTATTGAAATACTGAAATTATTTGAATGGTATTCGGGATTTTTGAGTCACTCTTTCATTGATCGTAAATACTAGTCTGTGTAGGCTTTCTGAATACAATAGTAGCTTTACACTTAGGTCGTAAAGTTTTCTGACTAGGCGCCTAAAATTAAAATATTAAACAATGGATTTCAGAGGTTGTTGTCAAAGAAATGATTGAAAAAGGTGTTGGTAAAAGAAAATTCTGTTTGTACAAATAAAAGAACAACAATGATACAGTTTATAAATATAAATATAATAATTATGATAGCTTTTTTTGGATAAGTCAAACAGTATTATTTATATATTTAGTACACAAATAGAAATACTGTCTGATTTTAATAAAAACGAAAAATTGGGGTTTCATTGGTCTAAAACAGTGAATAGCAAAAGTATCATTTTAAATCACAACATTATGTAAATATTTAATATACCTAGACTGTCGATTGCCACCAAAAAGGCCATCCACCACAGTAGAGTCATTGACCTCATTCCCTACGACATAAAAACACAATAAATCCCTTTCTAAGTGTCGTAAACATTAAACGGTACTACAACTCCACTATTGGCGAACACGTCACGTCTAGTAGCACGAACACTAGTTATTATCATAACAAGGTTGGCTCTTACCGGTACGTGACACTCGATGTCCCCGCGTTCCTCTCTTATCGAATATTCTAGAATGTCGGAAATAAAATCATCGGCGTCGTGCAAATTTTGCAATGGGAGAATCCGCTTTTTTGTTGTATTGTATTGTGTCGTGTGATCGTTGTTAGAGATGGTAAATAACTGTTTTGAAGGTTTTGTTTATTTCGACTTTTAGTTCGGTTAGTTAAACGTGTGTTTTACGACCTTATTTTAACCCTACCGAAGCGACTCTAAATATAACAATATTTTTTTGGGACATACCTGCTTATCCCTCCAAAATCTCTACAACCATGTAACATCTAAGTCTTATCTATATATAGTCTAACTTAAACAACTGACTAACTATAACTTCAATCACACACTTCTTTATTTCTTCATTTAGGTACTGCTACTTCGCATCGCAAGTGCCTCCCGAATACCAATCAAAAATAAAGACTACGTAAAAATATTTAAAGTATACTTTTGTGTGTCACTGATTTCCCTCTATGGCTTTATTGGAATTTGTATAGGTAAAAGCTGTATGTCGTTCATCAATAATGAAACGTATCGCCCGAAGGACGCCACATATAATATTTATGACTGTATACATTAATATGTAATGATTTCTACTATGTAAACATCGCAGATGAAATATTTGATACTTTTAGGATTTTTCGTGAGATTTAGATTTATACATATGAATAAATCTAAGAGTTTTGCAATGAAACGCCCAGAGTTTTTTTTCGAAGAAATTCATAAAACTGATACTGGAAATGAATTACTATAAAATAGATTTACAAGTTCTCTCACAAAAACCTATCTATCAGTAACAACGTTTGTTTCGCAAACTTACTACTTGTTTGTTGTTTCTTTTAATTAATGTCTTTTCATTAATTGTATTTATAGCATTGAATACAATTTAATATTGTAAAATAATAATAATACTTACAGTAACAACATAAGAAAGCCCGGTAAGCGTGAGCCGCGCCACACTGTCCTTTCCCGGGCGGGGGAGGGAGGGCGGCGCGGGCTCCTCGAGCGGCGCCGGCGCAGGCAACACGTCGGGCCGCTCACGCGCCCGCCCCCGCGCCTCCCTAGGTGCTGCGCCCGACGCTCCGTACATACTGCGGGAAGTAATAACCATATTAAACTTATTTAATTTTTTATGTTATCGGCATTTTTGTATTGTAAAAATAACAAATAAGTTAGAATTTAAGGAAACATTCATTCTGTTAAGTAAGTTAATTAATTGAACTGCAAATATATATATTTTTATCGTCCTCTTAAAGAGAAATCGCAACTTGAACGTCAAATAAACAGCTTAACCTAAATAAAACCGTTTAAAAAACATATAGAATTTTGTTAAGTTGAAATCTTTTTGTAAAAACAGGAAAACCATCTGATCAGATTTTCACAAAATATCCTTGGTTTTACAAAACACAGTCAAAGGAAGATTTAAATGAAATATCAAACAAAATCTTTCTGATTTAACTTTTCTAAACAAAGAAAGGAAAATATACTTTATGTGTCTTAATCTATTTTTTATGCCTATTGCAATGTAAACATATTTTTGTATTTTAATATACACCATGAAATTTATTTCCGCTTCATCCCGCGGCAAAACAACTTGCCATAAGGATTACTTTTAATAATAATAGATAAAATAGAAATCAAAAAACAATAAATGTAATTTTTTAGCCTAAAAAAATCTGATGGAAATATGCACATGGAACACTAGACGTAAATTTGTAGGCACTATTCGCATCGCAAGTGCCACCCGACGAGAAATACCTCTTCGAGAAGTGAAGCTTACATGGCTTGATGTGTTGATAAT